CATGGCACATTCTCATAATTCAACTTTTGGGTTCATAAATCATTAACGACAGATACTTTTGTTTAAAAGATTTCACCTAGTCCGATAATAGAATACAAAAGACAAATTTCTTAATTTTCTCAATTAAAAGAAATTTCTCTCAAATCCTGTACTCTTTATATACATAATAAGTCAGTGATTAAATCATCTAGTCTATTGTAAAAAAAAACAAAAACAAGTTTTAGTAGGAGATAAAATTAAATAATATAATTCCAAAAAACCAAATGTGTAAATATATTTGTACGCACTGCAGATTTTTTAAATATTTTTTTGTAAATCTACAAAAAAATAAGGGATGAAATATTAGTACCTCCGGGATTTTAGGGTATGGGAATAAAATTGAAATTTTGTAGCACCTAAGCGATAGTGTCTTAAGGTGCATTCTCACAATTTAACTTTTGGGTTCATAAATCAGTAAAGACAGAAACTTTTGTCCAAGACAAAAGCCTCAATTTGCTTAATAAAGCATTTTCTCTTTAATCAGTATTTTTCATATACATAATAAGACTGATTCAAACGTCTAGTCTATTGTATAAAGGAAGTTTTAGTAGGAGATAAAATTTAAAAAATTCCAAAAAACCTAGTGTATAAATATATTTTTACCCACTGCAGATTTTGTAAATACTTTTTTTTGCAAACCTACAAACAAATAAGTGATGAAATATTGAAACCTCCACGATTTTAGGATATGACAATAAAATTAAGTCTTTATAGCACCTAAGTGATAGAGGGTCTTAAACCGTATTCCCATAATTCAGCTTTTGGGTTCATAAATCATAAAGACAGCAACTTTTGTCCAAGAAAACTCACAAATATCTCAATTTTTTCAAAAAGAAATTGCTCACTAATAGTATTTTTTATTTACATAATAAGCCTGTCATTAAATCGTCAGGTTTATTGTGTAAAACAAGTAGTTTTAGCCACAAGATAAAATTTGAAAATTAAAATTCCAAAAAACCAAGTGCATGAAATTTTTTTTGATTCATTATAGATTATGTAAATACCTACATAGAAATAAATGATGAAATATTAAAACCTCCGAGATTTTAGGATATGGGAATGAAATTGGGTCTCTATAGCATCTAAGCGACCGGACCGCTTACTAAAACCGCATACTCACAATTCAACTTTTGGGTTCATAAATCATAAACAACAGCTACTTTTGTTTCACATTCACCTTATATCCTGGTAATCCAAGACAAAATGGAAATTTCTTGATTTTCTCAATTGAAGAAATTTCTCTCAAATCTGTACTTTTTATATACATAATAAGCCTGTTATTAAATCGTCAAACAAGAGGTTTTTTGCCATGTGATAAATTTTTTTAAAACAAGTGTATCAAAAAATTTTTATTTCTGTATTATTTTTTTTAAAACTACACAGAAATAAGTAATGAAATCGTAAAACCTCCAAGATTTTAGGGTATGGGAATAAAATTGTGACTTTATAGCACCTAGGTAATAGTGTGTCTTAAGGCACATTCTCACAATTCAATTTTTGGATTCATAAATCATCAACAACAGCAACTTTTATTTCACGGATGTGATATAACCTGATAATCCAAGGCAAAAGGCCAATTTCTTAATTTTCTCAAGTAAAGAAATTTCTCTCAAATATGTACTTTTTATACATAATATGTCTGTCATTAAATCGTCAAAAAGACGTTTTAGCCACATGATAAAATTTTTTAAAAGCCATTTCCAAAAAACCAAGTATCAAAATTTTTGATTTCTGTAGATTTTTTTTTTTAACCTACACAGAAATATGTAATGAAATATTAAAACCTCCAAGATTTTAGGGTATGGGAATAAAATTGTGACTTTATAGCACCTAGGTGATAGTGTGTCGTAAAGTGCATTCTCATAATTCAACTTTTGGATTCATAAATCATAAACAGCAACTTTTGTTTGACAGATGCCACATAGTCCTATAATACAAGACAAAAGGCAAATTTCTTGATTTTCTTCATTAAATAAATTTCTCTTATCTTTACTTTTGGTATACAAAATAAGTGATCAAATAGCACCACCGAGATTTTAGGGTATGGGAATAAAATTGAGCCTTTGTAGCACCCAGGCGATAGAGTTTCTTATGGCACACACTCATAATTTAACTATTGGGTTCATAAATCATTAACGACAGCAACTTTTGTTTCACATTCGCCACATAGCCTGATAATCCAAGACAAAAGGGAAATTTCTTAAAAAAGAAAATTCCAGAAAACGAAGTGTATCAAATTTTTTTTACCTCTGTAGAGTTTGTAAATATTTTTTTAAAGAAATAAGTACTGTATTTAATAATACAAAGAAATAAGTGATAGTGCGTCTTAACACGTATTCTCACAATTCAACTTTTGGGTTCATAACTAATTAAAACAGAAACTTTTGTGTCACAGATTTCACATAGCCTGATAATCCAAGACAAAACGCAAATGTCTTAATTTTCTCAATAAAAATTCTTCTCTCTAATATGTATTTTTTTATATACATAATAAACGTGTGATTAAATCGTCTAGTTTATTGAATGAAATAAGTTTTAATCACCAGACAAAATTTAAAATGAAAATTCCAATATAGACTGGAAGCCCTTGGAAGCCAAGGGTATACATTTTTTACTCATTATAGATTTTGTAAACTCTTTGTTTGAAAACCTACATGGAGATATATTCATGTTTACTTCTTAAATTTTAATATTTTAGACAGAACTTTTACAAATTTATCTCTTATTTAGTCTTATCTCTCTATATCTATCTCTTGTATCTCTATTCAGTCTTATCGCCCTAAAAGAAAATGTGTGTGACCCAGAAGATTTTTTTAAATGTATTTTATGTTTGTTTTATTGATGGTGAGTTTTAAAGCGCCTAGGCAATAGTGTAAATGTCTTAAGGCGCATTCTCACAATTCAACTTTTGGATTCATAAATCATCAACAACAGCAACTTTTATTTCATGGATGCGATATAACCTGATAATCCAAGGCAAAAGGCAAATTTCTTAATTTTCTCAATTAAAGAAATTTCTCTCAAATCCAGTACTCTTTATATACATAAGCCTGTGATTAAATCAGCTAGTCTGTTGTAAAAAAGAAGTTTTAGTAGTATATAAAGAGTACAGGATTTGAGAGAAATTTCTTTAATTTAGAAAATTAAGAAATTTGCCTTTTGCATTATATTATCGGACTAGGTGGCATCCATTAAACAAAAGTTTCTGTCATTAATGATTTATGAACCCAAAAGTTGAATTATGAGAATGTTCCTTGAGATACACTATCACATAGGTGCTATAGTCACAATTTTGTTCCCATACCCTAAAATCTTTGAGGTTTTAATATTTCATTACATATTTGTGTGTAGGTTAAAAAAAAACCTTTATAAAATCTGCAGTGCATACAAATATATTTATACATTTGGTTTTTTGGAATTATGTCATTTAATTTTATCTCCTACTAAAACTTCTTTTTTAAAATAGACTAGATGATTTAATCACAGACTTATTATGTATACAAAGAGTACAGGATTTGAGAGAAATTTCTTTAATTGAGAAAATTAAGAAATTTGCCTTTTTTATTCTATTATCGGACTAGGTGGCATCTGTTAAACAAAAGTTTCTATCGTTAATGATTTATGAACCCAAAAGTTCAATTATGAGAATGCGCCTTGAGAAACACTATAACCTAGGTGCTATAGTCACAATTTTTTTCCCATACCCTAAAATCTTGGAGGTTTTAATATTTCATTACTTATTTCTAAGTAGGTTTAAAAAAAACCTTTAGAAAATCTGCAGTGCATACAAATATATTTATACATTTGGTTTTTTGGAATTGTTATTTAATTTTATCTCCTACTAAAACTTCTTTTTTACAATAGACTATATGATTTAATCTTAGTTTTAAAGCACCTAAGCCATAGTGTAAGTGTCTTAAGGCGCATACTCATAATTCAACTTTTGGGTTTATTACAATTAATTAAGGTTTTTAGTTGAGATAAAAAAGTCAATGGCACGAGCGGGATTCGAACCCACGACTTTCGGCTTGATATGCCGCTACTCGACCACTTGAGCTATTGTGACCTCAATCCACTCGGACACCAACTTCCTATCTCAACCCCACCTTTTGAATTTTCCCTCCTTTTTGCCATTTTGGGTTTATAAATCATAAAAGACAGCAACTTTTGTCCAAGACAAAAGTCTCACTTTTCTCAATAAAGGATTTTCTCTTTAATCTGGATTTTTCATACACATAATAAGCCTGTGATTAAATTGTCTAGTTTATCGTATAAAACAAGTTTTAGTTAAGAAAAAAATTAAAAAAGAAAATTCCAAAAAACCAAAGTGTACACAATTTTTTGTCCCGTTGTAGATTTTTGAAATAATCCTTTTTTATATAGGATTAAACGATAATTTCTTAATATTTGAGAGATTTTAGGGTAACATAACATACAAACATAAAACATTAGGGGGAATAAAACTGTGAGTTTATTCATGCTCTTATTGTTTATTATTCAAAATAAATATTTAATCTAAATGAATTTAAAAATTAAAATTGGAATATTTTTTAATGCTTTTGTTTTGGAGAAGAAAGTGGGAGGGTATCGAATCTCGTTTGTTTTTTCGTTTTGTCATATTTTTGTTTGTTTTTTAAATAAAATAATTATATTAGATTTGCATTATATTTTTTCTTCATTCTAAAGAAGTTTTCTTTTTGAAAAAAAAAGTAGGATATTTTCAATAGGAGTGAGCAGTGATGAGCGGCCGGGCGGGGAAAGGCGATGTGACATTTAGGTGGAAAAGGGTGGGCAAAAGGGTCTCCTAGGCGAAAAAAGTTAGGACGAGGACGGTCGAGTGCCGCCTTCGCGAATGTGGATGTGATAAGGGGATGATAATGGAAAAAGCGGGCGGACGGAGGTGCCTGTTCCAGGGGAAACCTAACCCAAAAGGGCCCCGGCAGGGCCGTGTTTATACTCACTTTGTACGTGAAACAGTCCAACAGAGAATTGACGCACTTCCGGCATCTGCTTCAAAATCTCTTCGGTGACCAAATGTACGCCTCTGTGCTGCGGCCTAAGGTTCATTTTCCTCTGAAACCACGCCGAACCAATTTGTATGCCCCTGTTGGAAGAAGCCATGACTGCGGTTCCAACTCCAAATGGGGCGCCTTCTTTCCCTTGCTGCTCTCGTCCCTCCAGGCCCGTCCATAAAATGCTATAACTTCTTGACTTCCTTCGAATTAATCCGCCGGCTGCACATCTTTCGGGGGGCGGACTTCGATGCGGGCAGTTTCGCTGTAAAAGTCTCGAAACGGGCCAGGGACACTACGACACCCTCCTCGCTCGGCACACACAGTCCAAATAGCACTGGATTCCGGGAACCACCGCTAGAGAACCCTGCCGTTTCGGGGGCTATCAATAAAACACATGATCGCCGCCGGTCGGAGCCCTTTTTCGAATGAGACGCCTTCTGCAGTTCTGCAGAAATGCGCCCTGCTGTAGAACGGTTCGCACTCCACGTGGTGTCCTCCCACCTCGCGGACCGCACATCCAGACCGTGTCAATTACCCTTCCACACCTCTTCCACATCATGTTTTCAATCCATATTAAATTGACCTCGATTTTCTGCATAGTCTGTTCCGTGCTCATTGCAAGTCTTCCGGCTACTTATTCGCAAACCCAACAGCTCAAAAAAACATTAAACATAATACCAATTTAGTAATTTTTTCTATTTAATGGGAGCTAATTCTATTTTTTTTTTTTTTATTATTTTTTTTTTTTTGTTACCAACATCTTGGGGTCTGTTCATAGTATCATCAAAACTCAAAATGAAATGTCTTCAGCACGTGCTGGTGAATAACACAGAACTCTTAAAAATTAAAAAAAAATTATATTTTCCCAGACCTACTTCAAAAACCGTGCTTAACCAAATTCCCAAGGAATGTCAGATTTAGAGGACTTATAGGACTATTAACCGATCACTGGCATCTGAGAAAACACCTGCAATCAAAAGAAATAAAGGGAAAAAATATTATACAAAACCTGGAAATATCATTCCGGCATAAAAATTTGAAAATAAGGATTGCAAAAGTGATCGAATATCCATTTTTAATTTGTTGTGGAAAATGGAAGATTTTAACAAACAAAATACATTCTTATGTGAATCCACTCAGCCTACGCCAGTAAAAAGAAGACGAGCTAGACATTTTAACGGATCCGGCAGATAAATACTTTTTAAATGTCGAAAAAGAAAGAATTGCAGTATGCAAAAAAATTTTCATAGAAACATTTCGATATATCGATAGGCAAATTACGTAGTCTCTGAAAGCGAAGGTTATAGGAAAAGATGGGGCGTCAGTGGCCGCAACGGTTTAGGCGTCATCACTGTAAGGTAAAGGTCCCGGGTTCGAATCCAGCGGCCCTGCATTCGAACCCGACTGTAATAGAAAAGGAATATTACAAAGAACTCACAATGTAAACCTGAAGTAGGCTTTTATTAACTTTGAAAACATGATACAGTCTCTTTTGTATAAACAGTTGCTTATGCCCTTTAGGAGGTTATCGGTATTAGAAAAAGCGGCCTATTTAAATCACCACATTTTCCCTCTGGAGTTTAAAAGAAGTACTTTATAACAATATGAACATGAACTATACGAATCAATTTACATAGTCCTTCAAATAAGCAGGGCGGTTTCTGATGCGTTGAGATTGCCTGGGTTCTTTTACTGAAGGGCTGCCCTCTCCACTCCAGGGGGAGCAAATTCCAACAGTGCACCGTCAGATCCAGATCAAGTCCTTGTGATTCGACCACCAGGTGTGAAGAGTCACTCCCATCGGCCACCACCGGTGTCACCACTTCCGGAGACTCTACATGATAGGTATTCCCCGCAGGGGCCAGTTGCCTTAAAGAGACCGTTCATTCCACTCCATTGGGCCGCCTAATCAGGGCATACTGAGGATTCGCTTCAATCAGTTCCTCCTCCTCGACCTCGTTGTCGTACTTCCCTTTTCTGTTACACTTGGCCAGCACAGGGCCTGGTGATAGCCATGATGGAAGAGCTTCACCATTAGCTGTCCGCCTAGGGTGCGAGAAGAGGCGTTCATGAGGGGCAGTGTTAATGGCGGTACACAGTAATGAGCGAATGGCATGCAATTACTCCTCAGAACCTCCTCCCAGTCCTGCACAAGAAGACCCCGAGTTTTAAGAGCCAGGGTGATAGTTCTCCATAGCGTCCCATTTAAACGATCAACCTGCCCATTCCCCTGAGGATTATAAGGGGTTGCTACTCCATTGGACACAGAAATGACTTCACCTCCTGTGACATCAAGGAGGTCCCACGGTCAATATGTATATACGCTGGTACCCCGAAGGTACAAAAAAGGCCCTTCAGGCACTCCACCACTGTGTCCGATGATATATAACCATCCCTTAGGAGGTTATCGGTATTAGAAAAAGCTATTTAAATCACCACACCGACATACTTACAAATGGGCTTTTTTTCCCAAAATACCGGCATCCTGAGTGTTTATATGACCTTTCTGTTTCAAACCCTCGTAAAAAAAACGAGCCGATATGCCCCGGAAAATCCTGCATACGTTCATCACCTCATTCTTCCTTCTTCTTATTTTCTTTTATAAGAATCAACATCATTGAACTTTTTGTCCAAATTATATCATTCAACCTGAAAACTTGACCGATTTTTCCAACCAGACCTTAAAACTGATTTCGAATAGAAATGCCTATGAAATTGTCGTAAAAATTATTCATGGCTCATCCAATTTTATTAATATAAGCAATGCGTTTTGGACGTGCCAACAAAGAAATATAAAGTTTAAAACCCCGGGAGGCCTTACAACCGGTTCCAAGAAAACTTTTGACGGTAGTATGGCCCAACTTGGCAATTATTCTGACGTTCATCTAATTTGTTTGAATAATTAGTGAGATATTAGGGACAAGTATTACAAATGTGTCTTGGGGTGGATTCAAAACAACGGATGTCAACAGAATTTGCAAGATTTTTTTTAAATAACTGTTTAAAAAATCGCCATATTGGTTCCCCAAGTAAACCACACGAAGCATAATACTACCGCTCTGTCTCATTGTTTCCAGTTATCACAAAATTATGCAAAAAGGTTTTGATAAAAAGACTAAAACTCTTCATAAAAAATATTTAAAAAAACACAACCAAAGATCAGATATATAGAACTACCGATGTTATAGAAAAAAGCTCTAGAAGATAAAAATATCGGTTCAGCTTTATTCCGAGATCGCAAGTCTTTGTCAAGGTTTGACACGAAAGGTTAATACTTAAGTAAAAAAATATTCCCAAAATAATATATTCAACTTTATCTTTTGGAAAGGCTGTTCCATGATAAACAACAAGGTGAATAATCTGAGTTGTTTGAAATCAAGTCTGGCGTACCACAAGGTGACATCCTAGGCCCCGTGTGTATTTGATACAAGTGACCTACCAGTGATGGAAAACCTAACTCGCAACATTTACCAATGAGCCCTCTCAGTCGAAAATTGTATCTGTAAATTTCACAAATGAAAATTCAATCGTCTATGATAAAGTAGTTCCTCCCTAGAACTGAGTAAAACATTTAGGCATGACAATAGATAAAAAAATAAATTGGAAAGCATATAAAAAAAGGAAGAACTTGATTTCATATCTGTCAACTGTATGTTGCTGGGAAGAAATTCACGACTATCGATGATATAAAATAAAACAATGATTTATAATCACATATTTTAAGTGGCTCCCAAAGACAAGCTTGTCTCAGTGTCACTGCTATGAGCCCAACGCCAACTGCGGCCCTGGAAGTTTTGTTAAACAAAAGTCCAAGGAGAAGCCAGAGCAGTAGCCCACAGGCTCATAAATGGACAACCATCTGCTAGGATAGGCCATGTAAATAAAAAATGGAAACTTAGGGTGGAGATACAAGCAGATGCCATTCTAGGTATGCCATTTGATGCTACTACTTCAAAGTACAACTTTACAAATACAAAGTACTGATATGAGAACGGGAAGACTGGGCCAAAGGACACTAAAGGCAAACTCCTTCCGGTATACTGACGGCTCCAAAACCGACTGGGGACTCCTTCCAAGACAGAACTGACGGTAAACCTACAGTTTTACAGGCTGAAATCATAGCGATTGAACAATGCGCCAGAGAAATAAAAAGGTAAGGAATACATTCCCGGAAGATAGCCATTTACTCTGACAGCACTTAGGGCCCTAGCCTCATGAGAGGCGAAGGCAAAGAGTGTTTGGATCTGCATGGACGCCCTGACGGAAGTCAGTGAAACTAACGACCTGACCCTGGCATGGGTCCCTGGATATTCGGGGCATAGAGGCAACGAAAAGGTTGACATGTGGGCCAACATGGACTCTGGGCCTAGTCGGCTTAGCAACCTGCAAGGATCCTTAGTGAGTCCAAAACCTGTTGGAACAGATTCATAGAAGGACCAACCGCAAAACTTACAAAAGAATTTTTGGAAGGCAACCGCAACCGAACCAAGATTCTGGTTGCACTCCTGACAGGGCACTGCCAGATAAGAAAGCACATGTACCGGATAGGACTACAGACAGAAGAAACACTGTGCAGATACTGACATGAAGTCCAAAACATGGTGGAACAATACCACAGGTATGAGGCACGCGAAGTCATAGAAGGACCATCCACAAAACTTACAAAAGAATTTTTGTAAAGCAACCGCAACCGAACCAAGATTCTGGTTGGACTCCTGACAGGGCACTGCCAGATAAGAAAGCACATGCACCGGATAGGAGTACAGACAGAAGAAACACTGTGCAGACACTGCCAGGAAGAGGAGGAGACCGCAGAACACATTTTTTATGTTTCTGTGAAGGTCTATGTAGGTGCAGGTTCTTACAACTAGGACAAGAAAAACCACAAGCAAGATCCTGCACCAAGGAACGGATGGCAAAGCTGTGGAGGCTGGTTAATAACCTGAAGCTGGCCAGTGAGGTATAAAAAACAGTGGAGCACAATAGATCTATTCAGGTCGAGGTGCAGTAGGCCTTGTGGCCGCCTCTTTTATCCCTATCGCTATCCCTAATCACATATTAAAATTTATATGGATTTATGGTCTACAACTTTGGGGTTTTGGCAAAAAAAGTAATACAAGTAAAATACAGGACAAAGTGCTACGAAATATGGTAGATGCTCCTTGGTATGTTCGCAATAGCGATATACCCAGAGATGTGATCACGGTATGCTTATAAGCACTATTCGAGTTCAAAGCACATAAACACCGAGACCTGCTAGTCAGAATATCGTAATGTGACTGAAGAGGTCTAAGTGATTTGAATTAGTTCTGTACAGGTTAGGAGATGAACTCAACTAGATA